AAGTGGCTCACCTATCCAATCTTTAACCTCCCTCAAAACCCTTGGGAAAATATTATCTGGCCAAGGAGCCTTATAATTTTTTAAACTTCTCACTTTTTTTAACCAGCCCAAAATTAATGCAGCCATCTTGTTTGATCTTGTTTCCATTTACCAACTATTCAAGATGTGGAATACTGCATGAATCTCCATTAGTAATTGTTGGTAATAAAGCAAATATTGAGAACATGTTACCTAAACGTTCAAGAAGTGCAATAAAAAAACTAAAAAGTTGAACACTAAAGTATAAATAATGTAATAATTAAGCCCTCTTTTTCTTACCTGTTGGTCTACCGGTTTCTTTTCTTTCACAACGGGGTAAAAACGAGGAGCAACTGTGTTGTTTTTCCTACTTCGAGGTGTGGCTGGAAATCGAGTTCTATCTTTTGGAGTTTCTGGAACATTAGCAGGAACTGATCGAGAGAGATAATGACCCACATCATCAATATCAACTGATGGTGGGGGTGGAGGAGGCACACACTGGTTCGCAATGACAGGTGCTGGTGGTGCAATTGTCTGAAATTCTTCCTGAGATATAACTTCTATTGTTTTATACTGTCTTTCCACCTATAAAAAAATACCAATTAAAGTTTTAAGAATGTCTTGCATTGATTTCCAAAAATCAAGTGATAAAGATACAAAGTATCAACTGAATGAAAATAAGTAATAGAAAATGTTAACAAGTAAACCTGCACATTCTCAATATGGCAAAAGTCCCATGCACTACCAAGGATAGTAAATTGTGTTTGAATTGTTATTTTGCTGTTTTTTTTTTGTTGTGTTTTTAATTTTGCAAGTAACATTTTTATCTTATGCAATATAATGAATTATTTATAAATGTTCTGTACTTCTTTCCAACTTATTTACTAGTGCATTTAACAAAGTATCAGAAAAGCATTGCTTATATTTGGTACCACTTCTTTGTCAGTCAAACCTAGATTATTATGGCTTTTCATGTAAAGAAAACTATAATAAAAGGAATAATGTTAAAGGTTCTTGTAAAAAGTCACTAATTTTCCAACAAAATAAAACAATAAAACTGAGAGCATTATTCAACTAATCAAGAAGTGATTTCAATTTCAACCAACTGAGATAAGAAATTGGAACTATTCAGCAAAACTAAGCATTAGATCAAATAACACAAATTTATTTTGTTAAATAACAGAATTTGATTTCAAAAACAGAATCTTAAACTGTGAAATTAAACACTCACATGCATGGCCATATAAATCTTGATTGGTTAATACACATAATTTACAACTGAATAGCTGCTTTTCTTTAAAATATGCATTTATAACAAAAATAAACATTCTTTAAAACAAATTTCAGCCATCTTGAAGGCATAAGAATGGAAAATGGCCTCTCCTTACACCACTTTTACCATTTTTAATAAGCATTCAAGGATTTAACAAATAAAAAATTCAAAAACAAAGCCTGTTCATCAAGAAATTTAATTGTAAATTGTATATGGAATACCACAAATCATTTTTAAGTGTAAATTCCATGTACATCAAAAGCAATATAAAAGATTTTGGCAGAACTGATGTAACTTCTGCTGTATCTAGGTGCCTTTCTGCAGAAATTTCCTTAGAATGTTAACATGTTTAACATCAAGGTCAGTGACTTTATAAAATATAAATGTAACTGTTCCTGTCCAAACTCTGCAATGTATACTATAGGTACCTATAAATGTTTTAATTGCATAAAAATTAAAACCAGACAAGTAATGCAACATTTTAAATATGACACATGTATAAAAAATTAATAACCAATAAGAAATTTCTAAATGTAAACATATAGTTGTGCTGCATTGTCTTATAAGTTTGCCAAACACCAAAATCACATTTCTTTTTCTCTGGCTGTACCTCATAAGCCACTGTTTCTTTTGCCTGATAAAGTTCCCTATCTCTTCAGATACTGTCATCCAATATATTGTTGCGTCATCAAGATCACGTGACTATTCTCACGCC